GGGGGCGCCCCAGCGGAGTGCTGGATTGTGCTCAGCCTCAGCCCTCCGGGCCAGCCCAGCGATCCCGGGAAATTCTGCTTCCCCTAAGGGCCTGTGGATCTAATGCACTAATCATGATGTGGCAGTGTAGTTACCAAGCTACTCCTCTTATTAACTACAGGCGGGCGGGAGAGCGTCAAGCCTTTTCTACCCAGCATCTCATTAACCTTCTTGCTTGGTGAAAAAACTCCAAGGCCGGTGAAAATGTAGATCAGGGTTGTGCCACCTGCCCAAGAACATGGAGTCGTTAAGCCCCAAGGGCGGATTGAGCTGGACGGAAGAATAGAGGTGTGGAAGAAGCTTGGGGTCTCATGAGAGGAATTGGCCAAGTTCACAAATCACAGCACAAAGGCCATGCTAGTCAGAAGAGCAGGCATTGCTCCAAAGAATAGATCATGTCCCTTATTGCCCTGAGGTAAGTATTATTATCATCTACTTTTTCCAAGCAGTAAAGCTGAAGCTCAACGAGGACAAGACATTTATTAGCCTAATGTAAAGGGACAAAAGTACAAGCTGGAATTCAAGGCAGGTCTCCAGACAGCCAAGCTCTCACACTCCTTGAGCTTCACCACAGTTCTGGGACATGGTGTTCCCAGGGAGAGTGACAGGGAAGGGAAAGTAGGATCTGGCTTAGCTATCACAGTAGGCTTCTTGAGGAGGTGGTGGTTTAGATGAGTCTTGAATGTTGAGAAGGATTTTAACAGGGTAAGGAGGTGTCCCTGCCTAAAACCGACAAAGCACTGAAGCGTAGAAGGACCCTACTCATGGAAAGAGATAAGTGAAAGTTAATCAGGCAAAAAAGTTAATATACAGGGTGGGGCAAAAGTAGCTTTACAGTTGTGAGTATTCAAAACAGAGTTTATTCTTGGATTATTATTTATTAATTAGTGTATTCTTTTCCATAGGAACAACTGTAAACCTACTCTTGTCCCACCCTGTACATGTTGCTTTGCCCAGGAAACGTTTGCATTTTAATAAAAATCCACTGTGCTTCAGCCATGAGTAGTAACAAATCATGAATATTATGGGCACTATGGCTTCATA